CAGTTGGCCCAGATAAACCAATTTATTTTTACTCTTAAGGTCTTTTGAGGATCTGTTCCTCAGGGGTCACATGGGCTTAGGAGGAGTCCCTGGCTCCTTTCTTCTGCCAGTTTCATCTGTGTGAGGATAAGTCAAAGGTTCTGCTCAACCGTGGATGGCTTCACTTGGAAGCATGGAGGAAATGATTCCTCTGTGTTGACCCTCCTCTTTGTAGACTGGACACTGGTTCAAGTCCATCTGGTGGGGTCTCCATGGCCTCCTTGATCAAGAGGACAGGTGACTCACCATAGTTACAGGACATTTTGAAGGATGCGCCATAGTCCCCTGGAACTTAGTCAACCTTGGAGGGTAAGGAGCAAAAACTGTCCTTTAAGTCTCTCTGATCAAATTAGTATAGGCCTCAAAGTATGGCTGTCAAAAAATGGTGTTATTTTTAAAACTTTAAAAAAATATGTGTATGTATAAAATGATATTCTGTATGTTCTGGTATTAGGAGATTTAGAAAAGACAGGTTGATCTAGAGGGTTGAATTAATTAATTAAAGCCTAAGAATAAAATTTTGCTGATTTCCATTCAATTTAGAAGAGACTAGATTTTTAAAGTCTCATCTTTGGAGTATAATTTGCTATTTGATTGGTAGGGGTCATTTAAAGAAAATTGTTTTTACCCTTTTTCTTTCTCTTTATGGAAGCCTAATACTTCATTTACGTTTGAATAGTTTATTCTCTCTCTTTCTCTCTCTTTTTTATTTTGAGACAGGGTCTTCCTGTAGCCCCAGCTGGCCTGGAACTTGCTATGTAGATCAGGCTAGCCTCAAACTCACAGAGATCCTCCTGCCTCTGCCTCCCGAGTGCTGGGACCAAAGGTGTGTGATACCGTGCCTGGCTTTGAATAGTTTATTCAGTGACATACAGTGCTGTCTCCTTTATATATAAAAGTTTCATGAATGACTTGAGCGTGTTTCTGGGCTCTGTATTTTCTTTTTATTTATTTTTCTTTTTATATTTTATGTGTATGAGTGTAATGCTTGCATGTATGTAAGTGCACCCGTGTCGTGCAATGCCTGTGGAGGTCAGAAGAGGCATAAGATTCCCTGGAATTGGAGTTACAGATGGTTGTCAGTCTCCATGTGAGTGCTGGGAATTGAATTCAGGTTCTCTGCAAGAGCAGTTAGTGCTCTTAACGGCTGAGCCATCTCTTCAGCCCTGGGCTCTGTATTTTTATTGTCCATTTTATTACCTGTTTTTAATCTACTATTTGGTAGATAAGAGTATATACAAAAACCAATAAATACAAGGTATTATAAAACAGTAATAAAAAAAGCACTTTTAACCCTTCTCCTACCCAAGAGCTATGAGGTCGCCCATAACTTGTTCCTGTCTGTGCTTCTTCCCTGCATTCCTTTGCAGCCCTCTCTTTTTGCTGTGGTGGTAAGGAGGTACCAGTGAACTGTATCCCCATCCCTAGCATTTTCTTACTTTGAAAAACAAAATAGTTTAGCTGGGTGTTGTGGCTCACATATGTAGTCCTAGCACTTGGGAGGTTGAGGCAGGAGAATCAAGAGTTCAAGGTTAGCTCATCATACTTAGGGAATTTGAAGCCAGCCTGGGCTGTATGAGACCCTGTCTCAAAAAACAAAGAAATCTAAAGAACAACAATAAACCCCAAACAAACAAACAAAAATTCTTCATCTTGAACAGTGAATACCTGCTAATAATAATAAAATGTAAAGGAATTTGGGGTCAGCTGTG